ATGTATGCACCAATCACATCGCACTACAGCATATGTATGCACCAATCACATCGCATTACTAATCTCAATCGATTATGATTTCCAAAAAGCTATATGATATATTTAGATACACTTTCTGTTCTTTTAGGACAAGAATGGGAAAATAGAGGGCGCTGAATTGGCGGGATTCTTGAAAGACTTGATGGAACACGAGGAAGAGGTAAACGCTGTTATCTTATCTCCGCTATGCATTTACTATTAAATTCTATGGTTTGTTATCAATATTTGTGGAAATTCGTTAAAAAATTTAAGTTATAACATTGCGTATAATTAATGTTTTTGAACGCAAATCATACAATTTGATTAAGTAATGTTTTTCTATGTTATCGTTGTGGGTTCATTATTATCTTGTGACGACGACTGATTCAGTCACGTGACTTGAACAAACAACGGACAATAGTCGCGACATTTATGTTGTCTTGTCCTGAAAAAAGTCGCCATGTTGCACAGTTGATATTCTTTTTTGAAACGGTGTGTTGTACTCTGCTTGATCTTAAATGCGCATGATGGGCAAATGTAGTGACTAGTGATTGACTGGCCGAATCACGTGTTATTATAGTATCCTACTTCCTTCAGATTGGCGCCAAATACCTGTGTTCAACGTCTGATGCCAGACAGTGCGTGGAGGGTTCAATCATTCTATGGCGGTCCGTCAGCCATGTCTGCGTAGTTCAGTGTCAAATAATTCGAGTATGTTCTTTAACCAAGATGCAATTTTTCTCTAATTTGACTTGATTCAGTCAAACTTTTTTATTACTACTGAGCCGTTCGATTGACAGAAAGAAAGGTTTGCGTATGCACGCTATGATGTTTCAGTTTGACCCTGGGTTCACCCACCCTCCTATTCCACGTCATCATCGCGGGAGTGTAAGCGGTTCTCAGTTAGGTGTCCACATGGCATCCAATCACACTCCCGTTTATTTGTGTGTGCTTGCAAACTGCTTATCCTATTATTTAAAAAAAATAATGGTATGTATTGCACTCCTGATCGCATGCATAAATTCACAGCAATATTATTTTTCCCCCTAAAGGTTCCTTCATTATTTTCACAATGCATCATGGTCCATTAATATCCTGCCTATGCCAAATTAACAATCATATTTAATAACATGTCTACCGCCGTTAATTGACTGTTTACCCATCCGGGTTGCATTAACCAATCTAAATCGTATCCCTCCGCAATTTCCCCTCCCATTCCAGGACCTAGATCTTCAGAACCTTGAAGACAACGTCACAGCCTTGCTAGAAATTTGTGATGTGAACAAGGATGGTACATTGCAGAAAGATGAGTTGAGAATGGTGTTGTGCGCCGGTGACATTAGAGACGACGAATGAAATGGAAAATGGTGAACTATATGGCTACAACAACGTTACCATCGTCTGCGTGAATCGCCGGAAACGGCGCCCTACTAACCCTCGTTACCCGCAATTCCATGCTGAAATTGTTTTTCACTTTAATACTTTTTCTCTACATCTGGCGGGGAAGTAAAAATCATTATTATGAGTTTTAGACGAATGTGTGAGACTCTTTTTTTCAGCGATTTTTACACTATTTATGAGAGTACTAGTACGTACTGATGTGCCAGTGATTATAACACTATCACCTGTTCGCTTTTTTTTTGCTATATCTTCTCTTTATAGGAAATCACCGAGTCAGGTCTGGATGATTTAAAAGACAACTTACTCAAGTTATGTGACATGGACGGCGATGGACAGTTAGACAAATCCGAACTTAAAATGGTGTTGTGTCCGGCATTGGACGAATCGCAGGACAGTTGAAGGGTTGCATAATAATTATTAATCGGTTTGAAATGTCGAAGTGTAGTATTAATACTATATGTAGAGTTGAACTGTTTTACTTGCTGAGGTCTGTCCAAGTCACAAACTGGTTAGAAAATTAGTGTATACTTGGTTGAAATGTGTATTGCATATATTCAAAACTTATGCTGTCATTTCGACAGGCGATGATTCTACAACTTGTAATCTTTTCCCGCCAGTTCTTTGGACTGAAAGATGATAACAAATCACACAATGATCAAGTGACCAATTTGCTGCCATGTTTGATGAATACCGGTGACCTCGGCAGTAAGTCTTTCGACGCAACCCTTCACAAATATGCAAATTAGTTTGAACATACAATTTAAGTATGTTTATAAGATAAGATAAGATAAGCATTGTTAAGATAGCCAGTTACAAGTAGTGTCATTTGAAACGAAAATATATTTAAAAGTAGGAGATTTAATCAGAAGGGATTTTTTTAAAACTACTAACCCCAATCAATTGGCACAAACACAATTCACGTCACATTATTATTTGTGGTTTACAGCAGGATACATAAATTTAACTGTCTTTCTATCATTAATCAAAATAGTGGAGGGAATTTCAAACATTTACTACATTTTTAAGGAGTAACGAGGTTAGTGTAACGAGGGAAACATTTTTTTCATATTTACTACTTATATTGAATTTTAGGTGTAGGTCGTCAAACGTTCAATGATTTAACAACTATCTCACGTTCCTTTTATTATGAATATGTGTACGCAGCATTTGGTTCAGATTCTTGAAACACATATCTGCACTTCTTTTGGCCACAACATTTCAAATATCCGATTATTCTATTGTATTTTTTATATGTACATGTTAACACTAACGGTAGCAGATCAACCGATCGATTGTATATAAGGCAATTGTTTATAGACATTCAACACGCTTGTAAAGATACCTCCATCATCGAAAAATGACTTTTACTGTGACCTATGTTTGAACAAATTAGGTTAACATTAATAGGATAAATGGGAATCTGCATTTGAAGTTGATTGATGTGAGCGTCTCAATAATCAAATCAAGTTGTGCAAAATCCATTATTGTAATATTCAAATATAAAAATGCCGAATAAATTGAGAGATTAAAATTACAATGTTAACGTGTATTTAGAACAAAACAATGTACCTGTATAATAGCGGCAATGATTAAAATAAATGGGGGTAATATTATGACAGAAAGTAACACAGTTTTATGGAATCATTTGTCTTTTTCTCAAACAATCGAGCGAAATTTATAATACTTGTTTCGCTTTTATTTACATATTTATTAATTTTCAAGTTCATATTTAATGATTTTTCAAGTTCATATTTTTTTCTATTTTAGTCAAAATATCAAGGTGATATTTGATGTTTTTTACTTGTACGTGTTCATTTTAGTTATGCTACCATATAGGCAGGGTTCAAAATGTGTTAAATGAGCAGTGGTATTTTTCGTCAACAATAATGCCCACATAACGCAAAAACTGTTTCACATGTCGCCGTGATAGATGACTTATACTGCCCATTCGGGTCACAAATAGTAAATCTTTTTAAATCTATTGCTTGAGCTACTAACTCAATCTTCACTGTTGAATTATTGGCTATTTATATGTACTCTATTTAACTAAGAGTTTTTTTTTCAATATTTCTACAATTTTGCTAACCAATTTTAACTTCATGCAATGTATGCTTTTTGGAATTCTGATTACATGCAATTCTCACTCTATTAAAATTTAAGAAACAAAAAAAAATCTTTTTTATTGTATGTGGAATAGTGATAAATGAAAGTAAATATGTTGCATGTGAGTCGCTTTTCAAAATTGATCAACGATATCGTAAGGTAATTGTCAATGATTCTGTGCACACGCAAACACGTTATTCGACGTTGTCGCTTGAGCTTGACTGCGCCGAGTTCAAGTTCTACTTGGGGTTCAGTAAGAACCAAAGCCGGTAGACACTACGTTCGGTTCGTGTTCAACAAACTCAATTGCAAGACTAAATTTATTGATAGAGAATCTTTCACTAACAAAGAGAACCTTTGTTGAACACATAGCCTGCTGAAAGTCTCCATGAATACTCCCAAATGAATGCTAGGAAAAACTCACCCGTGATATTACCTAAACAACGCCCTTCCCACGAGACTTCACTCGGACAGTGCCAGCCATCTAAATATAAAGTCAACACTTGTGCCAAGTTTAGTGATCTTGCCTGTCTAGTCTTGCCTTTATATATTTATAGAAAATACCAAAGTTTGATGCTTTGTCCCAGATTGGGCTCGTACTCGAAGTAAGTCTGTTCAGATCATCTTGTTCTTTGATGTACTAGGAATTCGATGTCACAGGTCAGCGTTCCTCAGTTCAAAATGTAGTCATATATATATTCATTAGTTGATTATGCAGTGTGGAGTCGTCTAACTATGATGTATTTATGGTAATTGTAAGTGAGCAATGGAAATAAAGCTCGAAACATATTTTTACCATTTGAACGTCACGGTGATTTGCCATTACAAACTCAATATGTTGTTGACGTATTGCACATGTAATACACTCGTGTCGTGCATCGCTGAAATATTTTATTTTATGAATTTTCATTATATGAACGATTGCTCTCCACTCATTCATTAACCTACAGATAATGTCAATAATTATAATTATAGAAAGAAGACAGCAGCAGCCCTCCAACCGTAGTCTTAAATGTGAATATTGGTTTCTATGGCAAAATGTTGTGCATGTCCATACTCTTGGCTATAATCTGCACATACACAAATCAGAAGACACAACTGTGACATTTAATGTCTTAAAGGTCACGTGACACAGAATTTATTGTTATCTCAGACGAGGCATTTTTCTTATACATTTTCTGGCTTTCAAACAAAAAAACATCTCAATAAGCACGGCATATATTTCAACTACACTGGTAGTGAATGATGTGAATAATTACTACAATGTAAAAGTTTCCTAGAATAAATATCTTGGTCTGAAGTATTAATTCAGTGTAAGACTGTAAGACAGAACAAGTACAGCGCGTTGTAGAATGTACATGGTGCCAAATTAACATCTTTAACCGTTGTTGAATAGATGATTAGTTTATCTTCAAAGATTCTCAGTGTTTCAATTTCCAGCGCTATCTTTGAGTTGATCATATATGCCCATATTATATGTTGGTTATCCACTAAATTAACAACCAACTGCGGTTACCTATTAAATGCTAAAAGGTCGTTTTTACAATGCATTTCCTACATGGGTTCTTCTCGACAGTTCAACATGATCAACAGATTTAACGACAATAAGTGAAAGCCTATTAAACACACAGTTGATATAATAAATTATACACGTCGTCAAATGGATGGCGACCCGTGGGCGATAACTAGTGTGACGTTTTGCAATTATGGTAATCGATTTCAACCATATGTAAAATAATTATCTGACTTTCTTTGAGTCAGTGTGTGTTATGGTTAGACACTACTTATTTCGGCTCTGTCACAGTGTGAGGCCTGCTTGAGAGGGCCCCACAGAACTCACACTGGACAGAGGGTTCTTTCACTGCTAGTATTGGGTAGACAAGACAATAGTTAAAGAGTTAAAGCTCCTGGCTTTAATATCTCTCAAAATAATTACACGAAACAAAGCACAGACAAATACAATGAATAAATTCACTAAAATAGGGGATTGCTTAGGGAAGTGTGCATTGGTAATAACTCACAGTTCCAGGATGTAGAAATGGATGTCAGTAAATGACTTGTGCAACACGACAACGAAGAAATACAGGAGTCTTGCTTGCAGAAAAACGCTGGAAGAAACCACTGAAAGCAGGAGATCGCAGAGCAGTTCATACAAGTCTAACATAATGATCGTTGAAGCCTGTATCACTTGTCTCACAATATCGCAGTGGCTACACACAGAATACACAGTAGAAATAATGGACCCCAACTATCCTCAGTGTTGCCTGTTTATAATCCTAAATGGTCCAGAATCAGGGACACCACCTGAGGTTTCACATGAGCCAATCAGAATGTTGTTTTGCTAGCACCTGTCTCACATAGGTAAGTCAGTCGACCATAAACATCTTTTGTTATTCAAATAACATCACACCTGGTAGATTCCAACTGCCCTTCCAGAGTTGAAAAGAAGTACCTGTCAATCACCTTTATGACAGTTATCACACGGCAATGCACGCCGTTTCTCCCCATAATTCCATGCACATATCTATATGCAAGGTTTGAGGTAATATGACAAAAACACAGAATAAAGGATGCTAACAGGCTCATTTAATTAAAAATACAAACAACGTCACTTAGAATACTAGGTTAGTAAATGTAACGTAACCGTGTATACACAGCGGGTGGACATGTTACATAGCCGCGTATACACAGCAGGTGGACATGTTACGTAACCGTGTATACAAGCGGGTGGACATGTTACATAACCGTGGATACAGAGTGGGTGGACATGTTACGTAACCGTGTATACACAGCGGGTTAACATGTTACGTAACCGTGTATACACAGCGGGTGGATATGTTACGTAACCGTGTATACACAGCGGGTGGACATGTTACGTAACCGTGTACACACAGCGGGTGGACATGTTACGTAACCGTGTATACACAGCGGGTGGACATGTTATGTAACCATGTATACACAGCGGGTGGACATGTTACGTAACCGTGTATACACAGCGGGTGGACATGTTACGTAACCGTGTATACACAGCGGGTGGACATGTTACGTAACCGTGTATACACAGCGGGTGGACATGTTACGTAACCGTGTATACACAGCGGGTGAACATGTTACGTAACCGTGTATACACAGCGGGTGGACATGTTACGTAACCGTGTATACACAGAGGGTAGACATGTTTGAACAAATCCTTTAAAATAGATAAATCAAGTATATCACTCCACATAAAAATACGCTCTCCAGTTTAGACAGTCTTATATGATGATGTAATACAAAATAAACAAATAAGCATAGTAAACCCCTGATAAATTAACATTGTTTTCAGGTATATCTACATGCCGGCTTATTGAAGAGCCAGAGGGTGGTCAGGAAGGCAAATGCTAAAAATACTTTTTTTGGAAATCTATTATTATGACTTGGAGGTAATTTGTCCATGATATTTTTCTGTAACCAAGTTTTGAAAGTTGTTAAAGTAATATGAGACTGATGAATACATCAGTCTGCGTCGTACCTGATAGATAAACCCCCTAATTGGCATAAATTCAAGATGTAAAAGTCATATTTCATTAATAAATATATACGATCTATCATTATAAAGTTCCACAGTTAAGTTCTTAGACCTGATTGAGTTATTTAAAATAAGCAAAGGTTATGACCACATACTTCCATAGCAGAGCTGATGTATGACTTTATCTCATATGCATAACCATCCCTATAACCACAAATGTGTTTTCACCAAACAGCTGTGATTGTATGAAACGAATTCAGGATAAGACTTGCCAAATATTTGAAAGAACTTTCAGGGTTATTGTAGCCCAATTACTCGGCTCTAGTGCTGCAGCCACAAAATGCAATTACTGCTAGTCGATCAAGGTTTCTTATTAAGTAATATGATTATTCTGAAAAAGGCCGAGATGTGAGAAAACACTGTAAATTTGCACAAATCCAAAATGGTCGCCACGGGCAACAGGTTTCTGGCCAGTTTCCACCAGTATATTTAATAAAGGTATGTTATAAAATACTACGATGGCGGTGTATACACACTGTCAATATGTCCACCATTTTCACAAAACTGACTTAAGATTTATTGATGGACAAGTTTAGTTATATCGTTGAAGTGTATGTGGTGCCCACCTCCATAATGAGTGCCAGTGTGAGCAGATTTTGATCCGCTCAACATTCCGACAAGCTACGTGGTGTCTACCTCCATAATGAGTGCCAGTGTGAGCAGATTTTGATCCGTTCAACATTCCG